GCAACAACTCGAGCTGTAATATCATAAAAATGTCTAAGATCTTCGACGTTTTTTTATTTGTTTACTTCTTTTTGCCACCCATCATGGCGGATTGAAAATTTTGCGGACGTTTTGCGCTCAGATGAATATCATGAATTGGAATCGCTTTATTTATTTCCATAGAAACAAATTTTCTATTTTAATCAGTTGAACAAAAAAAATAATAATAATATAAGATTATGGTGTTAGGACAAAAATAATATTTATAAATTTACGTAAAAATAACATTTATCAAAATATTAATTTATTTAAAATTACTATGTTAGTTTTTAAATATTAATCATAATACTAGTCAGGCAAATTAACATCACTATTTTTTAAGTCTTAATTCACTAAAAAAAAGTCCTTTCTTCTTCGTCTGACTCTTCTTTCTTATCGATCTCTTCTTCTTCGTCCACCTCTTCTTCCTTATCGGTCTTTGCCTCTTCAACGGGTCAGGGCAATAACATCCGTTTTTGCCATGTATAATAACATCCGTGAAACAACATCCCAAATTTCATTGATGTATAATAACATCCGTGCAATAACATCCCAAATTTCATTGATGTATAATAACATCCGTGCAACTACACCTGTAGATTTTTCGGGTGTAACTACATCCGAATTTTTTTTTTTTAATGCATACTTTTAACCAGATGTAGTTACGCATCTGATTTTTTTCGGATGTAACTACATCCGCCAAAAACAAATTATTGTAATGCATTATTTTAAGCATAATATATTTTTTTTTTTTTAATTATTTGATAGACTGCCTGGCCAAACCTAACCCTCAGTCAATGTAGCAGCACTCCGTTGCGAGTCAGGCTATTTGTCAGTCGATGTAGCAGCACTCCGTTGCGAGTCAGGCTATTTGTCAGTCGATGTAGCAGCACTTATATAATATAATAATTATATATGTAACTTATAAATGTAACTGCATCCTAAATTTTTTTTTCAATAATGCATTATTTTAACCAGATGTAGTTACACATCTGATTTTTTTCGGATGTAACTAGGTCCGAAAATTTATTTTATTTAATAATGCATTATTTTAGGCGGATGTAGTTACACATCGAGAAAAACTCTCGGATGTAGTTACATCTTTCTAAAGATGTTATTAGACATCAATGAAATTTCGGATGTTGTTGCACAGATGTTAATTCAGTAAAGAAAAAAAGCGGATGATCTTACACAAAAATGTGCGGATGTTATTTCACTACTCCACGGATGTTGTTGGACAAATGTAGTAATCTTTTCCCTCTTCAACTTGTTTATTTTTTTGGTTCGTTAGTTCCTCGACTTCATATTTGCAAACACTTGTTAGATCATTTTGTATTCCAAATTTACTTTTTTCTTGTAAATCTACCAGTGAAAAGAATTTTGCTTGTGAATGTGAGTTTTTTAGCGATTGCTTTGTTACTACTTTCAGTAGTTGTTAAAATCAGGGCTGATAGGCTGTAGAGTCGGAGTAGAGTTGTAGAGTGTAGAGTCGGCTGTAGAGTTGTAGAGTTGTAGAGTGTAGGCTGTAGAGTTGTAGAGTGTAGAGTCGGCTGTAGAGTCGGAGTCATGGAATCGGAGTCGCTAAACAAAATTGCGACTCTGATTCCAATAGCTAAACTTCTCGGTATTGCAAGTACAAAAAAAACCTTTAAAGAATTTTCATATAGTAGGCAAAAAAAATTTTTAAATTATCGCCAAATATTTTTTAAAGAATTCAAAGAATATTTCAAAAATTTTGCTTTGGAGTCGGAGTCGGATATTTAATTGTTAAAATAAAATTTCAAAGTTTTCTCATGTTATACATATATTATACACAATTGTTCCATTTAACGTCTGCAAACTCAACATATGCTAAAGACTTTTTCACTTACAGACGTTTGTACGTAACGCTATAGAAATGGCGGAACTAAGAAGATGACGTAGTTTTAGCAATTAAAAATTATCAAGAAATGGACAAATCTAAAATCGAAGTTTTAAATTTTACACTAGGATGAGACAATAAACTCGTATTTTTTCAATGAGCAGCCGTGGCGCAGTGGTAGCGCACTTGCCTCAGAAAACAAAGGATCCGGGGTTCAAGCCCCACCTCTAGGCAAGTTTCGCGACATTGGCAAGGAAAGAGGCGTGAACTTCCTATTAAATGTTCACAACCACAATTATGGTCCTCTTCTAGATATTCAGAATTTGGATTGTCTCAGAGAGATTTTTGAAATATAATAGTTCTGCTTAGAATATTTTATTTTGTATTTATGATCAATAAGTTGGAAGTAATTATGGAATATTTTGGGACCAAATTATTTTTTAATTTTAACATAAACTGAAGGATGCTATAAATATTTTATTCATAAATATTAAGAACTCTCGGTTCTTTTATTATTTGTTTAGCACTAGCATATCCATTTGTGAATATGCGGCATGCTTGCTTTTGTTTTTTATAGACTAAGGCTAGTTTTAATTGGTAAGTACTTGCCCAGGCAGCATTGCAGTAGCTAATGTATTTATGAACAAATGCAAAGTATAAACTTTTTTGACTTTATTTGAAATATATATAGTTTTATACATAATCCCAATGCTTTTAGATATTTTATTTTCTAACAACTTGATATGCTCTTTCCAGCTAATATGTTCATCTAGAATGACTCTTAGAAACTTCACAGAAAATGCTCTTTTTAAATTTGTTTTGCCAACTTAAATATCTGGAAGTTTTAATGGTAACGTGTCTGACTTTGATGGTTTTGTGAAAAAAATGTATTTGCTTTTTTCAATGTTCAAGGAAAGTTTGTTAGCCTTAAACCAATCGCTTAGCTCTTCAAGTTCTTGATTTACTGTGTTAAAAATTATTTTAATATTTGAGTAGGTGTAGAAAGCTTGGGTGTCATCAGCAAAAAGAATAAAATTCATTATACGAGAAGATAAGAATATGTCGTTAATATATACAAGAAAAAGCAAAGGACCTAGAATAGATCCCTGGGGAACGCCACAAGTAATGGTTTCAAGTAATGGTTTCAAGGGAAATGTAAGTTTTGATCTAATATAAAGCTTGTTTCCGATTGTTTAGTTAGCAACTAAACCATTTTAGATTTTTATTTTTTATACCATAACTACTAAATTTGTATTGAAGGATTTCGTGATCCACTGTATCGAACGCATTTGACAAATCGATAAATACTCCAAGTGTATATTGATTTTTGTCAAACCCATTCAAAATTTCATTAAATAACTTTATTATTGCATGTTCAGCTGAGTGTTCTTTTTTAAATCCGTATTAGTTATTAAAAAGGATATTGTGATTTTGGAGGTATGAAAAAGTCTATTGCATATTATGCGCTCTAGTATTTTCGAGAAGCATGAAAGTATGGAGATAGGCCTATAGTTTGATAAAGTAGAGTTATCTCTGCTTTTATATATCGGAACTACGCGTGCTAATTTTAATTGTTCTGGAAAAACTTCACTTTTTAATGAGAGATTAAAGATGTACAATAGGGAATATTCAATAAGATCATAAATTTTTTTAACCACCTGAGAGCTTATGTCACCAAGGCCCGGACTCTCTTTTGATTGTATTGTTTTAAATGCGTTTCGAAGCTCATCAGAAGATAAGTCAAACTCATCCATTACAAAGTCCACTTCTTTTAAATATGATTTAAATATTTTTTTACTTTGAGTTATTTTATTAGTCCAATGTTTGTAAAATAATTAATGGTAAAATAATATGTTGATAAAGAATATTTATAAAGTGTTTAACTTTATTATCAGATTTATGTCTAAAAGGTTTATATTAAAGTCCCCCATTAAGTATAGTTGTTTATTTTTTATAGTTTTTAAATACTGTATAGTTTTCTAAATATTTTTCAAACAATTTTATATTACCACTAGGTGGTCTATATAATGCGGTTAAAAAAACGTTGTGTACGTTTTTCTTATTATTTATATTATGTAATTATTAGAAAAGTTTTCTTATATTACACACTGTGTAAAACTTTACACAAGTGGACTTTTACAATTGCATATAACATGTTTGTTTATTGTTATATTTGATATATTAGGTGCTATGCATCAAAGCTGTGGTTATTTAGAGAACCCATTTAAAAAGTGTTGATTAAGTGCAATTGGTATAAGAGTTTATAAAATGGTTTGTTTTTCAAACACATGCAAAAATTTGATAGATCAGTGGTTATTGCGCTGCCATCGTGTCGTTTTGCGAGGGTTCAAATTCACCCCTTAACAATATATTTTTAATTTTTTCAATTTGGCTGTATATATTTATAGCAAAAAATATATAGTAAAAAAGACTTTTAATTGTTAAAAGCTTTTTCTAGCTAGGGTCTTTCCTTTTTTTTTTTGTCTCCATACCAGCACCTTCTGGAGTAACAAAACTGTCTTATTAATTTCTTTCTTTATTAAATTTCAGACCATAATTAGTTTTTGAGACCACCCGCAGCTTATCTGGACTAATTACCTGAGCACATTAATAACCTATCTCTATCATAACAAATGCACAAAAAGTTTCTCCAGGTGTTTTGATGTTTTTAGAAAAATTCTCTAAATCAAAATTAAGGAGATGTTGACGCAATGCAGTTTTTAAGTAAAAGTCAAACTGTAAAACATGGTATACATTTTAATATTACATAATTTGAAGTATACATAAGTTAGATATTTTTATACACTTTCGTTTACATTTTCTTTAAACATACACTTTCGTTCACTTATTCTTATAAAAAATGTGCTGCGACTCTTTCTCGCCATTACCTCAGTTGCGATGGCTGCCAAGAGTTTTGTGTCAAACACAGTAGAATGAGCGATAACAAGTTGCTCATTTGTATACAATATGATTATGAATATTATTTCTAATTACTACTATTACTAATAATCAACTATTACTAGTTTTCTTTTAGTTTTTTTACTTTTTAACTAATAAAATTTTAAAAAATATATTTAAATCTTAAATTAAAAATATATTAAAAAATATTATTCATTTATAGATGATTTTAACTATTTCATGGATTTTTTTGATGATCATAAATGAAAGCTTGGAGGCAGGAAACTTGGAGGCAGGCGTATTAAATATTGGAGTTCTTATACCGTTAGATGATAATTGCACTAGGAATGCTATTGAAATGGCTATAGAAGATATAGAGAAAAAACCTGACATGATTTTCAGAAACTTGACGCGTTATAAGCTTACTGCACATTTCATGAAAACAGATAAAAGTTTAGGGAGCGCAATAGAAGCACAAAATCGTTTGTATAAAACAACTCCTACAAAGATTGCTACAATTGGTCCACCATACACTGAACAAAATGACTATTGCACTGAATATTCCACGGCACAAGGAAATTTACAAATATCATACACAGAAGCAAATGAACCTTTCGAGCCGTATTTCGTTATGTATTTTCAAACTCCACCATCAATAGTTTCAAGTTTTATAGCAGCTTGTTATTTTCTAAACAAATTTAACTGGTCTAGAGTTGCGATACTTTTTGACTATGCCCAGGCGAGATATTGTAACAACCCAAAAAGTTTGGAAAATATTTTAGAGAACTGTTTAAATAAAATAAATTTATTAATTGTTCAAGGAATACGGAGTAATCCTGTAAGTTATGGTGTTTCTAATGAAATAGGAGAATTGCAAAACAAAGATGTTCGGATAATATTGGCTCTATTTTCAGTTAGTGGAGCTCGTAAAGTATTTTGTGAAGCTTACAACAGAAAAATGACCAAACCTAAAGTTCTTTGGATACTTTTTGAAATTCTTCCGATTGGATGGGCATCTGATATCTTCAACGCTCAACCTATACCAGGTGGATTTAAAAGAGAAATTAATTGCTCAGAAGAGCAACTTCTTGATGCAGCGCAAGGTTATATTTCATTTACAAAACAAAGTCTTAGAAAAGACAATAAGACAACTTTAAGTAACGTTACATCGGAATCATTTCTCAATAGGTTAAATAAACACGTTGATAATAAATGTGATGAAAACTTAGCATATGCTTATGATGCAATCTGGGTTGCCGCAATGGCTTTTAATTTAACAGATGACACTGCCGATCTCTCTGTTTATTCATATAACTCGTTTGATGTTGTATTCAAGTTAGCAAACAGTGTTCAAAACGTCACATTTGAAGGAGTTACTGGGCCGGTTTCATACCAAACACAAGTCTCCGGAGGGTTTCCTTCACGAATCGGTCAAATTTCATTATATGTATTTATAAAAGAATTCGGAATGAAACTTATAGGGATGCATGATACTTCAAGTGAGGTTTTATTATTAGAACCAGAGGCGGAATTAGTTTTATTTCCCAATAACATTGTACCTAAGGACCAATCAACGTACAACTTTTATTTTTCTTCTTTTAGCAACATTCTACTTATTATAGTTTGGTTTTTTGCAATTTTTGGAATAGTTATTGCAGTTTTATGTTTAATATTTTCTTTGAAATATAAAGCCGAGGTGAAAGAGTACTCAACATTATCATTAAATGGTGCAATAATTATCGGAAGCATCTTAAGTTATCTATCTGTGATTATTTATGGGGTTGACATTCGATTTGTTGAACAAAGATTAATACCAGAAATGTGTTATGCATTTATTTCATTGCTATCGATTGGTTTTACCCTGACATTTGGTTCCTTGTTTTCAAAAGTCTGGAGAACGTATAAATTATGCATGAGATCTGGTAATTTATCAAATAAAAGTCCAGGCATTATCCAGGTCCAGCTCCAGGTAAGTCGCATCAAAAACAAAACTGAAAATTTTCAGTATTTTAAAATATTTTAAACATTCTGTTGCAAAGATTTAACTAATAACTAGTTATGGTAGAAATTGTTGAGATTGGTTAATTTAATTAAAGTTAATTCTAACAATAATATTCATATTTTTCTTATAGAATGTGCGTGAATGGTTGTTATTTGTTGTTGTTGGTAGTTTTCTTTTGATTGATATAGCCATTTTAGTTACTTGGAGACAACTATCTCCATTCATGGTCAATATATATAACATAACTGCAGTCGAAAATTTATCTGATGATACCATAATCATTGAACAAGTAGTCAAATGCACATGCAACTTCCAAACTGAATTTACAATAGGATTGTATTGTTATAAGGGACTTTTACTGTTGTTTGGAATATTTTTGGTTTGGCAAATAAAAAATATAAATAATAAATCTGACATCTCATCAAAAAATATTGGTGTGGCAATTTATAACGTTGCGGCTGTATCGGTAACAGGAGTGATTTGTGTTTCTATTCTGGCCACCACAACAAAGTTTGATGCATCTTACATAATAATAGCAGTTTGCATTTGTATATGTAATACAGCTACCTTACTACTGATTTTTTTGCCAAAGGTAAAATTTGAATTTGTACAAATTCATTACTAATGTTTGCAATAAAATTTCCATTTTTACAAAACTATTTTAGATTCTTATTGTTATAAACAGCAGTGGCTTAATTATTCATAAAAGTAGCTCAATAAACAACAGGGAACATCAACTGAACAAATCTCTAACAGTAACAAGCTGCATTACTCATCACAAGAATTTAGGCTTATCTGAGAATTTAAAAAAAACAAATGAAAGTCGCAGGAAAACAAATGAAAGTCGCCGGAAAATTTCTATGACTAATATTTATTCGAAACCGGATAAAGACAATAAAAACTTCAATTTAGGTAAAAGAGGATTTTAAAACAGAAGTTTGAGTTGAGAAATTTATTTCAAGTAAAATAAAACGATTATGTAGTAGTATTATTACTGTTAGCTGATTTTTTTATAAAATCATAGTTATTGATAAGCTGACTCAAAGTGTTTCTTTACATCAGACTAGATGTTTAATTATTTTACTCGATTACTTTTATCTCGTTAGAAAAATTCAATCAGATTTTGAATTAAATATTGGCTCGCTAAACAGTTTAAACTTTTAAGGCAAATTTTCACTCGTCCGTTTTTTCACGGGAACGGGAAAGGGACGATAAAAGTATTCACATGGGCATGCGTAGTATAAGTTTTAAAATGTCTGAAGAAAAACTACGCATGCTCACGTGATTATTTTTCCCTTTCCTATCCCGTTCCCGTGAAAAAACGGGTGAGTGGAAACCCACCTTTATATACGTATTTAAAAAATTTTTAAATTCAATTTTCTAAAATTGAGATATATTGAAAACTGTCTCTATTTTTTAATAGCTGTATTTTTCATGTTTTATCTTTTGGTTTAATTAGTTTTGGTTTTCGTTTTTTTGTAAATTATAATTTTAGGTTTTGTTATTTGGTTATTACTACGTTGCTAGGGAAGTACGGGCCGCATCGGTTGACACAACGACCTGACCCAGAGGGGTAACACCAAAATGCAAATATGACACTGCTCATGCTCGTGTTAACATATTTATGCGTATATATCATGATTGTATATTGTATACCCCAACTTGTTTTCTAAAGAACTTTTTTTTATACTTTTTTTTTAATAGAAATTTGAAACCCGTGTTTTTAACCCAGTTAGTCTTGCGAGGTGATACCAAAAACTTACCACACTGCGTGACACCAACCCCAGCGACACCACTGCTACATATGAAGGTTAAACCAAAATTTTACTTTTATATACTGTATAAAAATACTTAAATATACTGTATAAAAAATTATAAATTCTGTTAGCTTTTTTTGAATACCAAAGTAAACGTTTTGAAGTTTCTTTTTTTTTTATTCAAAGTTATCATGATGTTTATAAAAATGTACATTAAATATAATGTTATATTTTTAAAATAAACTAATTTAAACCTTTTAGATAATTTTAATCGTTTTGGTTGCTGGGAAATCTCTTGTTGCTTTTTTTTGTTTGTGTGAAATTTGTTTTTAAATGTTTTAAATTTGAAAAACAATTCATAAGTATTCAACGTATAATTTGTTTCTAATTCGACGTATTTCAACGTTCAATTCAACTACTCGACGTTCAATTTAACGTATAAATTGTTTATGAGGATATTTAAAAAGTTTCAACTTTTATTCGTAATAAAGGTTAATTCTTAATTGAATCCCGAGATTTAAAATGTTACGCCATTATTTTCAGTGAATGTTAGAAGTTTGGATATTTTAACAGATTTTTGAATCCTTCAACTTTCCTCAGGAACCATATATTAAGAATTTTGGGTCTTGCTAAAAAACTCTGTCCAATGTAATTCAAGGTTTTTTTCTTGGTTTTTCCTGGGTACACTACGACATGCCAACTCCTTGTTAGGAAATTATTGACTTCAGGTTCTACTCAATCAGATTCATTTAAATTAGCATCTGTTTTGTTGTTACTTTCAGTTGGAGAACCGCTGATTTTTAAAGATTCAACATCCTTTAAAAGTAGTTTTAATTTTTGTTTTTGATTTGTTGGCTCTTTGTTTTTTTTTTTAATTGGTTTTCCTTCTGCTTCATTGCCACAGTGTTTCTTGAATACATCTATTACAACTTCATTGAATGAATGTTTATTTTATGATCTTACTTTTTAATATTATTTTAATGAACTTGTTCTTGATTCAATGGATACATGCCTGAAGCTTTGAATAAGGCTAATAAGTTCTCTGTTTTCTCAGTATTCTGCAACTTTATCGTGAGTATTTGGAAATAGTTTTTTTGGATCCCTTAATTCTTGATTGGTTTTGCTTTGTTTTTAAAACCTTCTTTCACCCAACTTTCGAAAATCTAAACACAGCAACATCAAGCGGTTGCAGAAGATGTGTGGAATTTAGGATTAAACATGTAAAACTGATATTATTTTCCGAGCATGCTTTGGTGATATCAGATAAAAAAATTTGAAGCTAAATTATCTACAATAACAACCTTCGTTCCGAAAAAAATTGTTAATTCAGGTATAAAAATTTCTAGAGTCAAACAAACCAGGTTTTAAACTGTTGAATATACTTCCAGGAGTCTTCCCCGTGTTCAATTTATATAACAGTTTGCAGCTTTGAAAACAACTATGGGAGAAAGAAACTGTCCAGTCGCACTGTACATAATACTAACAGCTCCTTTGGAACGCTTCATTTTTCTTTTTACACATTTAAGGCTACGTTTACAAATTACTGTTTTAGAGCTTAGGTTATCGCTTATATTTGTCTCATCATAGTTAAATATATATGTATTAGGAATGTTTTGGTTATATAAAACTACATTTTCAGGCCAATACTTTTGTATTGATGAACGTGATGACGTTTTTTTACGATATATTGAATGGGTTTTTCTTACGGCAATTATCTTGGTATCTAGGGAATACTTAATTTACGTATGTTACTTACGGATAATTGCCAGTTTTGTATAAATATCGTTGTTTTATATTGAAATACATGAAGCGTAAAAAGTGATACACCTTAGTCAGTTAAACGCAACAAACAGAATATTAAATTCACGACATGAAGTGGCGACCCTGCCAAGACACTGGAATCAACTTATAATTTCAATAAGTAATCAACTGTCTAAAGAAAACCTACAACAAAATTTAATATGCCGCCCAAGCAACGCAAAGGTCCTATCGCAACATTAACAAGAAAATTGGAACTAATGATATCAAAAATTGAGCGACTCGGTTTAGAAGTACGCATGGCATTGAACAATAACGATATACATTCATTGGAACGGTTGGAGCCAACAATCAAAGCAAAATTGCTGGAAGCTTTCAACTTGATCCAAAACATGGAAAAATAAAAAGAGACGAAGGTAATCCCGACAATGAAGACATCGACTACTGGTACGATAAGCAAAACATCTTAATTAAACAACAAAGTGAAATTCTTACTTCAATGGAAGAACATCGATTAGAAAGAGACATCATTAAAAAAAAAATGATGCACAAAGAAATCATCCTTGTAAAACAAGAAGCAACTCAAAGCACGCGTAGTACACATACAAACGACAATAAAGCAAAACTTCCCAGACATCAAATTTCAAAGTTTGATGGCACTATTCTTGACTGGGTACGGTTCTGGCAACAGTTCAGCACTGAAATTGACAACACAAACTATGCTCCTGTAACTAAGCTTTCATACCTACGTGATTATACACTACGAAATCTGGAAGCATCTATTCGACGATCAAGCAATATTATCAGAAAAGAGAACGAAACTACAAAACCTCGCAATAATTGGAAGCACAAACATCAAATGGTAAAAAATTTTCAACATAATGAAGTCAAAATTATAGAGTGTACTTATTGCAGTTCACAAAATCATCGTCGTCACGAATGCACGAACATTAATTCAACACAGCAAAGAATAATATCCGTCTTAAAGAAGAAGTACAAACACTTATACGGATTGGATTTTGACAATGAAGATAGTTATCTTCATTGTCAAATGATGATCACAAAATACATCTTATTATTGGTGCTGGTGATATTGCAAGAATCAAATTAAAAGGCTTCAGGACTAGAAACGGCGGAGAAGCTATTGCAGAAGAAACTATATTTGGTTGGACGATTATGGGTTAAGGACAAAGCACTTCGGATTGCTTATACTTTACAAAGTCAACCAACGAATGCTACAAAGAACTATACAGCTTAGATGTACTTGGTCTGAAAGACCAAAGCGAAGGAAATCAAAATGCAGTGTAAGAAGAGTTTAAAGAACAACTATAATAAGACTCAACACTTTTATAACACTGGATTATCATGGAAAGAAGAATGCTCAACCCTAGCATCCTATTCAGAAGTGAGCATCTCCAGGTTACATAGTTAGCTAAGGAAATTGGAAAAGAAACCAAATGAATTTATCAAATACAATGCTATTATTCAAGAACAACTCAAAGATGGAATAATTGAGTATGCACCAACCGAACCAACTGGAGAGAAGATATTTTATATCTAATCGAGTTATAACCCTGATTGAAAAAATACGTTACCAGATCTAACACCAATACCGAGAAGTTTAACTATTTTGGATCATATGATAAAAAAGGTTGAAATCCATGGATTTGGTAATGCAAGTAAAGATGCTGCAGCGCAATATATGTAGTAGTACATTAAGGTAACAAAGTCACTCAAGGACTACTTATTGCAAAATCACGCATTTCCAAACGAGGTTTATCTATTCCAAGACTTGAATTAATTTCTGGATATATGGTAGCCAACGCTCTTACAAACTTTAAACTGGCACTTGATAGACACTCAATTATTGATTTATACGGTTTTCTTGATAGTTCAGTGGCATTTCATTGGATTCTCAATGACAACCGCAAATGGAAGCAGTTCATATCAAATCGAGTCAAAGAAATCAATAAACAAAGTTGGATTATTTGGCGCCACTGCCCAACCAATCTGAATCCAGCAGGTATCGGAAGTTGAGGAGTAAAAAACGGAAAACTTCCTCAAATCTGGTTCAACGGTCCAGCATGGATAGCCAAAAAGAATGAATGGCTGCCAAACATAGTCCATACCCAAATGGAAGAAGTAACGAAATAAGTTATTCAGACTAATACACATCATTTTGCTATAGTTGAGAAAGTTTACTACTTAAATGAGCTTATGAGCAAGTATCAACTACCAAAGATTTTTTAACAACATCAGAAGCAAAACGAAATATCGTGGGTTGTTTTCAGCTGCCGAACGAAACAAAGCCAAGCAGGAGCTGATCAAAAATGTTCAACACGAATTTGAAAACTCCGAAAAGTATAAAGAAACTTCCGAATGGTTACAATTACACAAAAATCACAATGGGCTACTAGTTTGTATGGGTCGTTTACAGGGCGAATACCTGTTATTTTTACCATGCAAGCATCCGTTTACTAACTTGGTGATTCAAAGAGCACATGCACAAACACATCATGGAATGGTTGGCTTAACAATGTCGAAGTTTCGTGAGCACTATTGGACAGATACCCTACGTAGCCAAGTCAAAACAATAATATACAACTGCAATAGGTGTAAAAGATTCAGGTGCAAACCCCTGCTAGCTCCATCAACATCGGATTTGTCGAGGTATCGAGCTAAAAGTAGTTGTCCCTTTGAAACTGTTGGTTTGGACTTTGCTGGTCCAATCGAATATAAAGTCAGCAAAGAGTGTTACAGAAAATCTTATATTGTACTTTATATTTGTGCAATTTCAAAAGCAATCCATTGGGATCTGCTAAAAACAATGGAAAATGAAGATTTTAGACGAAGTATAAAAAAAATGATTGCAAGAAGAGGAACACCTGCACTTATAATAAGTGACAACGCAAAAACATTTGTCAGTACTGCGAGGTGGATCCGTCGATTACAAAAGGAATCGCAGATAAATGAATACCTAGGTGAAAAAAAAAGTTTTGTCACTTATATATTATTTTTTACTAAAAGAGATTAATTTAAAGTTTAATCACTTTTTGGAAAGAAAAATGTTTAAGTTATTAACTAAGTGTATAAATATTCATGCAATTTTTATACTACTTCAAAAAATCTGAAACAACTTAGAGCTACTAGTATGCTTATCAACTTAGAACTATTAGTATGCTTATCAACTTAGAACTACTAGTATGCTTATCAACTTAGAACTACTAGTATGCTTATCAACTTAGAACTACTAGTATGCTTATCAACTTAGAACTACTAGTATGCTTATCAACTTAGAACTACTAGTATGCTTATCAACTTAGAACTACTAGTATGCTTATCAACTTAGAACTACTAGTATGCTTATCAACTTAGAACTACTAGTATGCTTATCAACTTAGAACTACTAGTATGCT